TCTCGCTGTCTATGCCAAAAACTTTCGTTGAAGCTTCTGATTTCTACAAAATTAATTTCTGATCTTGCTTGCTTCCTATATTGTGAGGAGGAAGAAGAAGTTCAAAGAAGAGATTGATGATTGAGAAACCGAGTTCGTGAAGAATCGATTCAGATTCAGGGAGAATCGATTAAAGAGTATAAGGAGAAAGGTCTTCTCGGAGCCGGCGGATTCGAGAGGGATTAAAGAGAGATTTTTACGACGGTGAAGCTTGAAGTCGCTGTGAAAAGTATCTCTCAGGATTCCAAATAAGGTATGAAAGAATTTGTTGTAGAGAGACCGTGAGTATCAAAATAATGAATCGATTCAATTTAAAGGAGTTGAACCATGCGAATCTTGCAGATTTGAGAGCAAGCAAGCAAACAAGTGTGCTATCTCGAGAAAGACCTTAATTCACGACGATCATCTCTTTAAATACTCTGAGTGTGAGCTTGTCGAGCATCTTGATTGTTCAGAGGTTTCACGAAGGAACGCCAATGAGAAAGGGNTTTCGATGGAGAGGAAGTGTGGAGGAAGAAGTTGAATAGTTTTTGCTGTTTGTGAACGGTGGAGGAAGTGTGGAGGAAGAAAACATATCAAGATAGGTGAAGAAATCGTTGTTTCGAGGAGGATATTTGGTGCCATACTTATATACAAACAATGATATACATGTGTCTACTTAACTAATTGGTATCATGTCTAAATCATTGTATTGTATCTCCTTTAGTTAAGGTGTAAAAGAACATGACTCAAACGTTTCAGTTAACTAATTGTTTCCTTGTCTGGATCATTTTATGTTTCAATCTATCAGGTTGTACAACTACGTAAACTTGGTATCATTATGATCGTTGGACTCTCTGTCTATTAAGTTAGGGACTTTTGGTGAGTTTGATTGAAAGATAAGAAGAAGAGGAAATTAATTGGAGGGTCTTCTCTTAAGGTTTTGGTATCATAACAAAAGGACTCTTGATGGTGATATACACACGAAGGGATTGGATTCATTATTCATGATTTCATCATTTTTTTGATAAATGAAATCCATGAAAAGAGAAACACATTAATAGAAAACGTGGTTTGATTGGTCTTTTACACTATTAAAGAGAAAAACATCAGAACATGTGATAGTATAGGTTTTTATTATATGTTTCAGTCTCTTGTTTGTACAATTACGTAAACCTAGTATTACTATGTTTGTTCTTAGATTTTAAAGTTGTTTTGGTTTTACTTATCTTAAATCGTTTTAGGCTTACATTTTGACATGTAAATAACATATAAAGATTTTATTTGTTATAGAGAATAAATATATTTGATAATGGTATTTACCATATT